TATTGTGCATTGTAATAAAAATTTTGGTGCATACCCCCGCTATTTTCTTTTAAATCACATATGAATATAATTTGTCATTAAAAGTTTTGAGTGTCCATGTTTTGTTGTGTGAAAAAACTAAAGTATGTGTCAGATCAAAAAGTACACATGAATATAATGGCAGGTCCATGTTTTGCAATGGCCCAAAATATTTGTCACAAAAAGTGTGTACATGTTAATAAAGATACTCTGAAAGTCTCATCAAATTTCATTCAGTGGTATAAGGGTAGTTGCTGATAAGAGATGGGTGCCCCAAAGCGTAACAGACGGACGGACGGACATCCCGATAACTATATACATACCCTCTCGTTTTTCAAGCGGGGGGGGAGGGGTGTATAATAATGTTTAACTTTAAGGAGCTGAAACATAAGCGTATATACCCCACTTTTTATCAATTTATTTTTCATTGCAACAGGGCCATTACCATAAAAATGAAAATTATATTAAAAGAAAAAAAAAAAAAAAGAAATTAAAAATGAAATTAAAAATTTTTATCAAGTTCTAATACAACAGTGGTCATTTTGAAAATTTTTAATCATTATGTTGCAGGCCGCATTTTTTTTTTTTTTTTTTTTTTCGAAAAATAGCAATATGACAGCACAAAACAACAACAATTGTGAATAAAAAATAAAGAGAAAGATAGGATGAGATTTGGGGGGGGGGGGCAAATCAAAGTTTAAAACTTATAAATGTATCTATATGGATGTATATTTATTCGAAATAATATGAAAAAGACGTTTAAGTGAAATACATGTAATTATTTCATTTATTTCTAGTTTTACGTCATTATCATGTGCATGTGAGTTTTATCAATAATCATAAATACAATAACCAATGTTTGTCTCCTATCAGTAGATTCAAAATAAATTATCTTCGAAGATTGTTTAAAATGTATAATTCTTTGCTTATTTCAAATTGTAAATATTTAAGCTGCAATCCCCAGTCATATGACGTCATCATTTTTGCATTACAGATATTCTGAATGAAATTAAAAATTTGTTACCGAATTACAACATCACAGAGTGTTTATTTTCATCGTGTCATAAATCTAAGACTTCCTGAATGCTCTCAAAATACTTAAAGCCTAAGTGATGAAAACATATAGCTAATTTTGACAGAAAAATTGACGTAAAATGGACTATTGTTATCAGCAAGGTCTCCCGCTAAAAGTAAACACCGAAACTGAAGTCAATCTTTTTATCGCAAACCCTTTAGTGAAATATTATGGGTTCTCTGCTATAGGATCATTAATTCCATATTTTGAAGGATCCTTAGCATTTAAAATCAAGAGGGAAAAAAATGAATAAATCAATTTCCAATTACTTTTCATCGCGTTTTGTTGTCTATAGTTACATTAAAGGAATAATACAAGGGTTCATCTAACACTGATCAATCGACGTCACTCATCTGTGTACTATGTCTTTATCATCCTTTGACGGATAGAACCATGGCCAGAAGGGTAAATATTATCCATGTTTAAGGAATTAATTTATAAAGATTGTGGGAAACGGGATATATTACTTGACGGATTTGGACTACGGTCGATTAACGGTAAACAAGCGCGCAATGTTTTCCGGTACGTATCACGTACCAAACCAATAGATAAGCAGGTACTCCAAGAGTGGGAGTGGGGGACTGTAGAGGTCACGATGTTAGTAAAGGGACAAAACCGCTGTACGAATATTTGAAGAAAAGTTTACAAATAGCTTAATAAGGAAAAAGTAATTCATCATTTTAGTAACCAAAAAAATACTCCTTTATGCATTCACAAATGAAATGTTTTATTAAAACTTGTGACTGTGCAATTCTGGGGGTATAATAGTCATTCAAATGTCAGGAAGGACCAGTGAAAATATGTTAAAATGCACTGAGGTATAAAGGTTTCGTTTTGACTAATGATTTCAGATCTTCTCTTCATATTTCATTACCCTATCCACAAAATGTGAAAATCGATCATCTTATTCTGATCTATGCACCAGGACTGGTGTGCTGTGTCAATTATATCTAATGTATTTCATCATTAGCTTGAATTTACTTACACTAAAACAAAATATATATTCCGTCTTATTTAGATATATTTTCTTGTTTATTTTGATAATATTGATGTGCGGTTTGTAAAGTGAAACTCATACAGATTACGACAAATTACAAGAATATATATTAAGACAATATAGAGGTCAGTGTAAATGTATCTCTTTAGAGGAAAGGATAGACTGTCGCCTACACTCCTTCTCTTTGCAAACCTTTTGATTTTTGAAAAGGTTTTTATTAATGTTAAACCGAAGACAATCTACTCTTCAACTGACTGTTCGAATAAGATATGTCTGAATGTACGTAAAAGACGTGTTATATTTATAAAAAAAAAACAATTTTAACAGAAATGCACATCTTATACAAGAAAAACCAACATTTCCGTGTTAATTCATATTCACAAGTTCTCAGTCTTGAATTTATGTTTTGTGTATTTATGATAAAGCTGTAGAAATATCTGTGTGAAATAGATTCAGACATATCTGTGTCGAAATGTCAGTTTAAGTGTAGATTGTCCCTGCATGCTTCGATATTTACACTTTTTACCAAACTCAAACCTGAAGATCTGTATAGAGATTTAGATGTAGGCGAAAGCTTGTCCACTTCTCTAAAGGAAAAACTACAAAAAGCATCTCATGTTCCACACAATGAACATGTAGGCATGAGATTTTGTTGATATCTATTTTTTTTAGGTTTTTAGTCAGGATTAAGTCACCTAAAACTCTAATGAAATTTATACTGACTTATTTTGTTACAATCTTTAAATACATTTTTGCACTCAGATGAGCAGCTTCTATTTAGAGATCATGTTGAGTTCGCCTGCAGAAAAGATCGAGAAATAAAGGAAAGGCTGAAAACAGGTAAAATTTGTGAAAAGAAGGTACACTAGCCTACTTTAAGTTTTAGATATGTCTTGTAAAATCCTTTTAAAATTCCCATCTCTCTAACCATTATGGGCGATTCATTTGCTTTTATTACATGAAAGAAAATTCCACTCAAAGTGCGACTTTATAAGAAAATTCAGGAAAATGAACAAGTACATGAGGTCACAATTAGCATTTAAGGGGTGATATGAGAAAAACAAATTCATATTCTTACTGCATGGCATTTTTATAATTCAGATATATCTTTTTTAATCTTTTACCTCTTCAATATTTTTACATACCACAGTTTTTACACCCATAATTGGATTTGCGATAGAGTGATTAAGTAAAATAAATTTGAGTCATATAAAAGAGTGTCATATAAAACAGTAGTGTATAAACGAGAGAATAAGAAGAATCTCATATGATTTGTGGTTGGCTATGATTATTATCCAACTCGTTACATGTTCGCTTCCCCACGCTAAGGCTAGGGAAAATACACACAATTCGTTGAATAAAAATAATTTCCACCTTGAAGTACCTATATATTTCTCTTTTTTTTTCCTCCCAAGACTCTTGACCTTCTTAGACGTTTTCACCCTTTGTTCTCTAGAGATTTAACCAATTATTTTGAACTTTTTACCCAGTATTACTTTACATTTTCCACTTTTTCACTTCAGACTTTCCATCCTGATACTCTATAGACTTCTATCTCCTTAAAGTTGTCACTGTATTCCCTCTAATTTTACATATATTCATAACCTTCGATGGAAAAGTGGGAGTGTATATAGTGATCGGAATGCCCGTTCGTCCGTCCGTTACGCTTTTGGGTACCCATCTCTTATCTGTAACTCCTCTTTTACCGCTGAATGAAATCTAATGAGACTTTCACATTATCTTTGTGATATAGTGCTATTGTGCACCTCCTATTTTTACTTTTTGATCGGACACACATTTTGGTGTCCCAGAGAAAAACATAGACACGGCCATTATTTCTATATTATTGACGAGTGTCTTTCTTATCCGTAACTCTTCCCATACCAATAAATAAAATAAAATGGTACTTTCACAGATTCTTTATTACATAATGACATTGTGCACCTTCTATTTTACTTTTTGATTTGTCACTTATTTCGGGTTTCCCAGAGAAAAAAAACGGACTTTGCCATTTTAACATATGAGAGGCGGGGATCATCTATTTTTCTCTATACTACATGTACATTCATTTTATATTTCTAATATGTATTCCGTCTCTAGATTTTCCAAGTTTCTTTCTCTCTAGGTCTCCACTTTGTGTTCGCTCTATCGCACATTTTTTCTTTTTACCATGTATTATTACCTGAAGATGACCATGTATACATAACCAGTTCTATTGCATTTTGAATAGGATCGATGGGTGATCATAAGGGCAGAGAATAACATCAATCCATTATATTAATGTGCTAAACAGTTTTTTTTCATAAACATACCATTGCATAAACTCATTATCTTTTATCCGATCAATGAATTATGGACAAACTGTTAAAGTGCGATATAGTCATTAAGTCACAGAGAAATTTCCGTATATTTTGGTGCAGCATCTATGTAAAAATATATACATCGATAAAGATATACACATTAATAGTTTTAATAAAGTTGACCCTGAAATTAAAAAAAAAAAGATTAAAGGGAAAAATGAAATGAATTTGCATTAGAATAGCAAGGTTTTGTATGTATATACATGTATATCTTAAAAAATGATACAAATATAAGAATAATATTTACATGAAAGTTATAGTCAATCTTTCGTTTTAGTTCCTTTAAATCTTTAGATATAATATTGTAAATCCTCCCTAAATATCTAAAATTATAATGAAAAATTAAAATTTGATCAACTGAATCTATGTTCTTTTAGCGTGACAAAAATGATTAGCTTTAATATCAGATTCATATGAACTTAAATCAAGATACAGATGATGATTGGAAGAGGCCCGCCTCTTTTCTCACTGCTTACGTCACACCAATAGGCTGATGAGTATTATAAGTTATGAACAATAACCGTCATATACTGAAAAGGCAGAGAGCATCTACTTCAAAACGTTAACCCCTTTCGCCAACTACTTCTGATAAAAGATCTGCTCTGCGGCCATATCGAACGGACAAAAACCAGGAGTGGGTCCGCCTTATATCTGGCGGTAATTTAAACGCAGCGCCACAAGCTATAGTAGTAACGTACTAACAGTGCTTACTTTGTGAGAAGCCTAACTGTATCTCTGCAGTGACTAAGATGACAATTTCTTGGGTCTCATTTCTTTGTCTGGGGCTGCTATATATCAGAAACTGTGAATGCACAATACTAGAAGAAGCAGACAAGGTAAGATATGAGTTTTCTCTTTGCTTAGGTGAGATTGCACAGAGGAAAAACTTACTTCTTTTTTCTAAACATCAAAAAGACGTACCTTTTTCTCCATTTTCAATCGTAAAGGGTTCTAATCGGTCATTGATGGGTGAATGTTCTGCCCTATAAATAGATTCTAACAGAAGCGGCTCAATCTGAGAATATGTATTTCTCCTCTGTATTTCATTAAAAAGAGTTAAATATCTTTTATTTTTCGATACATTCAAATTTCTATTCTAGTAAGTCTAATTACTATGTTATTTTTACTTAAATACACAATGATTTGAAATGAAATAAAAAGAAAATCAAATACAAATTTTTATGCCATCATTTAAGGTATATGTGCTTGTTTAATGAGTAACAAGTACAAATGTCTGGCATTCGCCATTAACCTCGTGATCTGTTATGCTGAGTCTAGAAGTGACCAAGGTTCTAGTTGATGAGCACGATTAGCCACGTAAAGCTGTGTATACATGCACTTCCATTAACATCAAAGTTCAGGACCAATACCGAGGGATTCATTCAAACATTACCAGGATTTTGTTAGACTCTTGTAATTAAGGAAATGACAGATTAAGACAAGAATTACCACTCTGCGATTGAAAATCTTTCTGTAGACGACAGAACCTCTTAAAATATAACCGTAATGAAAAAAAATAATGGCTAGACATAGAAAGAAAGCAAGTATTTCATTCGCAAAGAATTGTTGAATATAGTTCTTTTTTTGTATATATGTGTGAAAATGAACTCATTGTCAATGTAGTATTGAGAAAAAACTGAACTCTTAGGTAAAAGGACAAGTTTGAAACAAGAACAAAATTTGATATTTGTAAAATTATTTCAAATCATAGTGTTAAATCTGCATTAAGTAGACTTCAAGATTTACCAGATATTAGCATATATAACAATAACATATATTTGTAATATATTCTTAAATATGAAAGATGTTCGTTAATAGACAGAAAGATGGAGTGAAATTTTAAAATTTGTCCTGACAAGATTTTGTTTATTTGTTATTAAGTAAGAGCTGTTATCTGCACTTTATGAACTTCATTAAAATCATTGATTGAAAGCTTTTGAAGGTACTTTATATGATCATTTCAACGAAAACTGTTCTTTATTGTAATTAGTAAACAAAATAGCCAATTTGTTGAGATTAAACGTTATTTGTCATTAACAGTGTTTTGAAGTCAAATACTCAGATTTGTTTTTGCCCAATAATGCCAACAAGGCAATTAGTTTGGCCATTTTCATGAAGTAAAATCCAATATTAGGTCAAATTATTCAAGAAAAAAATCTTATGATCAATGGATGAAACGTATTGACTTCATTAAAAAATGCATTTAATTTGAAAGAAGGGGTTGTGACACCGGATTTGTTATGTTAAATCCCAAGCTTTATTTTGTAATAATTCCCAACTATTTTGTAGACAGATCGTTTATATTTCTATTTTTTTAATTATGAGATTTGAAAATGTATAGTATATTAAATAAATGGGACTTTAATGAGTTATTCTCCTTTAAAATGTTATACCTTTGTTTAAGAGATCAACAATGATTATTGATAACCAAAAAATTTACATTGTAATTTCCAGAAAGTGGTTAAGATGAAGACATGTATGCCTTGTTTTAGTGCTCATTCTACGTTTGTTCTTTTAAATGTTTTTATATATGAAAATGCTTCCAGGATGATATCTATCAATGTTAAGTTTTACTGTATATACACATGTAATAATATAAATTTTTGTATTCTAAATACACCAATTTAATGCGCGAAAATTCATCACGCCTCAGTGAACTCATGGCTCTTTAATTCCCTCCTCCCATTCAACATTTGTTTCAGTCTTCAGGCTCTCAGCTGTTTTTCCTTATAGAATTGCAATACCGGGATTCGGTTACTGATCACATTAAGAAAAGCTTTTTATTTATTAAATGCGAGTGAAGTGCTCATAGAAACAACCCATAGTTATTGAAAAATGCCTTTGTGCCTTAGATAATATTAACTCTTTATAAAATCTTCTAGTCAACCTGTTTCCTGTTTGATTTAGTTTATGTTAGTGACAAATCAATATGTTTTTTTTCTTAATACGCATTTTGCAACGGCTTATCAAAAAAAGTTAATGAATTAAAGGACACGTATTTTAATTTCTGACAGATATTGGGAGGAGTTTTCAACACTTTCTACATTCATAATTATAAGATATTTGATTAATTTTACTTGCACTGAACATTAACCCATTGGAAGAAAACACCTTTTCATCTGGACTGCAATGATTAAAATTAATTTCAACGTGAGAATGATTGTCTATCGTGACTAGTCTGAAATAGATGATAAAATAGCCCTTTGAAACTGTTCTTAATTAGCCGAGGAATTAGCATAAGACTAACCAGGATAGAACACGAATTCATTCTATGAACCTTATTCAAGATTATCCCCAGACAAAGGGGACCGCCTCCGTGGTCTAACCATAAGATTCGCAACAAAAGACCAGACTCGTTTATGACATACTATACATTAATTTGATTACTGGAATGCGACCACATACATATTGTGTTTATTGTGTCGCATTGGTTTTTCTGGAGAAAGAATCGAGGATAGTAGAAAAAGAAGAAAAGCAATTAAGAGAAAGTGAAAGTAGAAATGGTCACCTCAAAGAATTAGAACCGGAAGTTATCGCCAACATCAACTACGGCATTTATTACTATCTGTCCAAAGCTTTTAGACAAGAATTAAAATGGCTTTATAACTAAATCAGGGTCAATTAATCGATCTTTTCTGAGTAGAAGTCAGGCAAACCCTTAAAAAGAAAATCTTTATGGTGTCAAAATGAACAACGTATGTATATCTGTTTAAATTTCTAGTGAATATTTAGATTTGGCATAAGTCTTAATCAGTGTCTGTTCCATTTTTTCACATTAATACAATAATTAATCTTTTTAATCCTACTTTAATTGATTATTTAAACAGATATAAATTAAACAATATGGATTACTGGAGTAACTGCAAAAAAATTTACATAACCCGATCAGCTAAAATAACAAACAAAGAACAAAGCATTTTATTGTTTAAGTAAACTTGGACATTTCTACTGAAAGTATGGATTTCTGGATGATGCCGACAAAGCAAATATAAAGGTTTTTAAACCTTTTTACATGTTTAAAAGCATCAAAATATACCAAATCCTTGTATTCTTCCTGCCTTACGTATATCGTTATATTTTCATTAACGTCTCTATAGCCTCATTGTTATGTTATTTATCAGGAGTTTTCCTCATTTCTAAGCCTAAGTATTCATGAAAATGGCATTCAAATTAGTTTTTAGTTGGTTGTGTAGAAAAGCACAGCAAATGTAAATATTTTCACAACGATGCATGATTAAACGAGCAATTTGATTAGTTGAGAAAAATGTAAGCAAATAAAAACTAATGGTACTGTGAGCAATGAGCTCACTAAATGATACCCCCGCCTCCCATATGAATATAATGGCAGTGTCCATGTTTTGCTATGGTAAAGCCCAAAATATGTATCAAATGAAAAAGTAAAATAGGAGCTAGGTCACAATGGCATGTAATAAAGATTCTGTGAAAGTCTCATCAAATTTCATTCAGTGGTATGAGAGGAGTTGCGGATAAGAGATGGGTACCCCAAAGTGTAACAGACGGACGGACATACCGATTATTATATATCCTCCTGCTTTCAAGCGGGGGTATAATTATATGGGTGGTAAGAGGGAAAACCTAAATAAACTCCCAGAACTTTAGTTTCAGGTGAGGACACTTAAAAAATCGCTGTCTACTTCGTTGGATATACCAGGAAATCAACGATAGTTGGAATCAAGGAATAATTTGCATAACAGGCGAAGCCCGTTTTACATAAATAATTACACGTTTCCAGCTGTTATTGATGTCCATAGCATTCCCAACAAACTACATAAATAATCGTTACATGTATATATACATTTATACATGTATGTAAAATTGTAAATGTAAAGGAAAATGCTGTTTAATAGATAAAAATACACGAGGCCTACCATGTCAATTTCAGTAGTCCCGCCCACTGACGTCAGACATAAAGTCAGCTGCACAAGATTAATTAACATGCATATCACCTACTGATCTTTCACGGCGAAATTTACATTCAAGTTTAATTATTAAGAAATCAACGCACGTAAATTTCTACGAAGAAAACAATATTAATCAGAAATATAAATATTCTGAGGTACATTTTAGGAAAAGGCATCTAGACCAATCACAGGGAATCAAAATTCATATTAAAAAATACAAAAGAAATCACTGAGATTGAAAATTAAAAGGAAAACTTCATGAAATCTATAGCTATATTTGTTTTCTTCATATTGATCAAGAAATCTAGTCAAACTGAAATAGCTAATTTTAATGTTTTTAATTAACGGTTAAAGATATATTAAGCCCATGTTTTATAAATGTATAATTTATATACAGACATGTACATTAAATGTTCATAAAATCTACCACTACTACTACTTAACAAGCTAAAAAGATCTTTTTAAAAAAATAAGAAGAAAAAATGTTCTGTCATAGAAACAGTTTTATTATGTCTTTCAATTTTTTAAGCATGTTCCTTCGTAATGTTGGAAATTTTTCCAATGCTTAAAAGCCCTCACACTACCATATGTATATAGGCCCCGGTAATACCTGTTCTTCTTAATCTAAAATTCTAATTCCTTTTCGTGTTCACGATCTTTTAATTTCAGCTTTCCATTTTTCATCCAGTACGTTGATTTACTATACAAATTCCAAGGGACTGTGATGATTAATCTCAATGAGAAATCACAAAGAAAACATGTTCCTGTTTTAATATGCCTTTTCATGATGCTATATCTCATCTCAAAAACAGCTAATGCTTAATTGGCTGATCCTTGTTGGCAAAACCAATAATATGTATAAAGTACACTATCTTTTCTATTCTTAACGCATTTGTTATTCTAGTAATAAAAGA